ATTTAACCCTTTGTCTAATTCATTCTATATACCTAAGGTTTGTGTGTTTTTTTTTTTGTAAATAAAAAAAATTCAGAGCTTTTGTAAGATTTCAAATGCACACTAGTTATATATCAGTATTCTTCTACTCAGAGCAGACTGAATATTGATTGTCTCTCACTTAAATGCACATAGTATAGCTTTTTCCATAAAGATTTATACAATTCTGCATTTCCCAAAGCTACAAAAGACTCTCTTCACCCTTATTTGGGAAAAAGAGAAAATAAATCTTTACATAGTTGGTTGTGTTGTTTTTTGGTTTTTATATCTATATTTTCTATCTGCTTCATAATCCACCATCCTTAGATTGAAAGGACAGAAATGGTTTGTTTATTACTATTTAACCCGATGTTTAGAATTTCAAGGATAGCACATATGGATAAAAAAATTTAGATCAATTGAAGACACATGCAAAGTTTTGTATACATCCCAGAAGAGCCCAGGCAGTGCTGCATACTTCCACTCAATCAAATTACTAGTATGAAATAAGCTTATGCATGAGTTAAGCAGATGTCTGTTATTTGAAGAGGGTAACTGAGTGTCTGTGTGAGATCTTAAAAAGCAAGCTTCTCTGTCAAAATCAGATCAGACCTTTCTGTGCTGTCTTCCCAAATGCAGGAGTGGTGCAGAGCAGGTGCAAACATCCCAGTGATTTTTCATTTAAGACAGTCTACATTCTGTTTATTAATTTCAGCGCACACTGACCCAAGGTAATTCAATTCAGAGCGCCTGTTTTTGCACCTGCTTTTGTTTTCCAGTGCTTAAGAAAGACTTAATAAATTGAATAGAAGAGTTGTTTACAAATCTGAACTATCTACATGATAAAGTGCCTGGCAAAAGCTGATGCACTGAGGTCAAAATAGGCTTTCAAATTAAAGATTCTTAAGACAGTAGAGTCAAGAAGTACTCGAGATCTGGAAAGCACTATATAATGGTAGTTACTTGTGCACATTATCAGCATATTTCCATTAGGTTAGAGCCTAATTATATAAGCATATACTACCCAAGGCATTCAATACTGTTTTCGTTTCCATGGAATGAGTGGACAGGAACAACAACAGCATCACACATTTTTGCTCATAAACAATAAATAGGATTCTTCACGTTAAGGTCTTGGCTTTCCGATTCTTGAGCAAGTACTAACCATTAACTTGTCCTCAGTGACATGTTCAAAAAGGGCATGCTGCAGCATTTCTGTAACAGCATACTAATAAAATGTTTTGATTTCAGGTAAACTTCCATTTTAATAAGTTCTTGTTTTATCTGTCTAACTGGATATTTTTTGTAAGATTCTGTGCTCTGGCTGCCAGTTTTTTGGATGGCTTGTAATCATCTTTTGAAAAAGGTAAACTTAATAGCTGCTGTTGCTCCAAGCTGATCTTGCCTCCTTGAAGGCAAATATAAATAAATAAATAAATAACATTAGGAGAAAAAAAAAGAAAGCATTAAAAAGCAGACTCTGTTTCAGAGGTGGATTTTTGCCTTGAAGTCTTACTGTTGAACAGAGATACAGAACATATTTCTATTAACTACTCCAAAATCTCAGAATATTGTTCTCATCTCAATGTTTCTAATGTTTAAAAAACACCTTTACAGTATCTGTAGTCTCCTGTTTCACAGATGAAAAAAAAACAAAGTAACAGTAAGGGAGTGAAACGACTGTGAAGTTTAGAATCACAGAATCACAGAAACACCAAGGCTGGAAAAGACTACAGGATCATCCAGTCCAACCATCCACCCATCACCAACAGTTCTCACAAAACCATGTCCCTGGACACAACGTCCAAAAATTCCTTGAACACCCCCAGGGTCAGTGACTCCACCACCTCCCTGGGCAGCCCATTCCAGCTCCTGACCACTCTTCCAGAGAAGCAGTATTTCCTAACGGCCAGCCTGAATCTCCCCTGGTGCAGCTTGAAGCCATTCCCTCTGGTCCTATCACCAGTTACACGAGAGAAGAGGTGACCCCCAGCTCACTGCAACCTCCCTTCAGGTAGTTATAGAGAGCAGTAAGGTCTGCCCTGAGCCTCCTCTTCCCCAGACTGAACAACCCCAGCTCCGTCAACTGTTCCTCATAAGGCCTGTGCTCCAGAAAACTGGCTGAATGTAAAAGGCAGTGTCTTTATCTCAGTTTCAAGTGTCATGCTTCAGTCATTAACGCAAGCACAGTTGCGGAAGACTCAGCAGAACCTCTGACAGTGTTATTATTGCATATTCACATCTACTGTCTAAGTGGATAGAACTACTAGGGAGCCAGTTCAAGTTCCTCAGAAAATTGTGTTCAAACAAGGGAAAGATTTTACAGTGCAATAAACGATCCTCATATATAGAGAGGTATTTAAGAAGCCAAACCTAACTACAACACAACATTATCCAACCGTAACTAGCAGAAATACATTTTATAAAATAAAATTTCAAGGGCTTTCAAAAGAAGAACTTTACTCCTTTTCTTTGATCATGTGCCTTGAAAAATGTCACAAGGCTGACCTCTGCTGGGTCATAAATTACCAAGCATCTAAAGGGCAGTAACTCTACATAGTAGTTACCAAGGATCCCAAAATACTTTGCATATATGCCAGCATACAAAAGGCCATTTACTTCACACAGTTTCTCTGAACAATAAAGTTAATATTCTGAATGTCATCGTAGTAGATAAGAAACTGATAAACTCATCATGTCACCACTGTATGAATGCAAAATTAGCTTCAGAATAGAACATCTGCTTTTGGTGAGATCAAAGTTATAAGCCAGTGCTGCACATCAAATTTGAAATCACATAACATATCTTACTTATGCACAAGGCCAGATCCTCATGCAAATAAGTACTTAAGGCACTTAAGTTAGACAAGAAAACAAAGGATAAATTTGCAAACATGTAAATATATTACGTTATGCCTTTTATTCACCTTCAGAGTCTGTCTAGAAGTGTCAAGGTCAGTCCATCCTCTCTTCAGCAGACGAGCTCAGGAAACACTGCTCTCTCACAGTTATTGTTGAAGTTTTGAGAGCCTTGCAGTGATTTCAAACCATAATGGTAGAAAAAAATATTTACAAGAACTAGCTATAGACAGCTTTACAATAGTGCTAAGATGAAAAATTTTCAGTTGTTTTGGATGTTTTGAGCTGTTTTTCCTAGGTGTGACCTTGATCAATTCAGCACCATGTAATTCCAGGCTGAAAAATACAAGACTAAGACACATGTTTTAGAATACTTACATAGATAATAAAGCAACTACTCTATTACTAGAATTCATACCAGCCATCAGATCATATCTCTATGGGTCCTCTCCTCTCTCTAAATTCCAGGCAGAAATCCTGCAGTACATAGACACATACCTCACCCTCCCTGACCAGTTTTAGGTAGAATATAGCTGATTTTCATTATCCCCAGATGCAGCTGTGCCATCACAACATTGGAGGTGATCCCACTTTGCCTATATTCATCAGTTTTGTCTGGGGAAAAAAAAAAAAAGTTAGATACTGTTTTCTTTAGTTGCTTTAAATAAAAAAAAAAAACAACACAGAGAAATGACAAATAACTCACGTCAGCTACTGAATATCAAATCACTTAGTGAAGCCAATAAATATGAACAGATGGGCAACTTTCGTTAAAATCCAGAGCGTGCAGACTGAGGGGATTTTGTCCAGTCTCCTATACGTTAAGTCATTATGCTGCTTCTCTGCTCACTCTGCTATGAGCTTAGTGACCTTGGTTTCAGCAAATATCCAAATATCCATCAGAAAAAAAGACACTTCTGAAGACATCAAGAAAAGATAAAATCCACTACATTCCCATCATTCAGTGCCCTAAATGTTATTAAAAAAAACCCTCTATATTTAAACACATCCAGCTCAACTTTCCAACTACATCGTAATGCTTCCATCTCAACCCACATCGTTGTTGCTTACCAAAATATGTACTTCTTTATGTAAATGTACTTCCATGAGCAAATCAAGTGACTTCCTGCTCTTGTTTTGCATAAATGGAAAGACTGAAGTAATGCAAACTCTCAGTTTAAGGAAAGTAATTTCGAATTCTCATTTTCCATCATCTATAGTTTTATAAAAATCTGCAAATCCTGCAATGTTTCAGTATCAGTCACTCAGTACTGAGCAGAGGTCACACAAGAGATGAGTCAGCTGATTTTATGTAACCACCTCCAATTTAGACCTTAAAGAATCACATTAGCCCTCTGCTTCAGCATATTGGGAAGCCTTGTTCACTGTAGGAGGAAACTCATAGAACTGTAGTTTTTCAGAGCACAATCTTTCCTCCTCTCTTTTCTTTTTCAAATGACCTACATTCCCTGCTTTTTGATGTAAGTTTAGATGTGACCATGTATGAATTCATTTTTAACCTGCACAGTTCCTTTTTGATGTCTTGATTATTACTGAGCATTCTGGAAACAGAAAAGGCGACTTAGTGATACCAAGAGTGTTGGTTTTTTTTAACATTCATTTTCACATTCTCAGTGAAAATGTTGACAGGAAAATGCAGTACAGATTTTCTGAAAAAATCCATAAAGTGCATCTCCATCAGTTACAATGCCCTTGTACTTACATTTATGCAGTTCTTAATCACTTAACCATTACTGACTAATGACTGTATTCTGCCAGAAGCCATTAAAAGTAATGCCATAAAAAGCCTAATATAGGCACAATTTTTAACCATGTATGTGATTCCATTAGTACTTCCAAGGAGTCCATAATAAAACAAATACAGGCTAAGTATATTATCAGCTATATACCATACCTAAACATACCATATAGCTATCTCACTCCCACAGCATAACTTTCAGGATTAAAAACTAAAACACACTTTGAAATACAATTGTAATTTTAGTTTTACAAACAAAGCTACATTCACCATACAAGTGTACTTTCAGTGAGAAATCAAAAACAACATACTGAATAATAATTAGCTATAATATTCTGCATCAAATTTGTCCCACTAAAATTTTGCATCAAGTTTTCCACTCTTCTGGAAGGTTTGCTATTAGAGTCATGTGTAATTACCTATTTGGTCTTAGCATACACACAAAACAAAAATCACAGAAACTTCAACTGAAAGTTTCTGATTCTTTTCCAAAAAGCCCAAGAGCTACAAATAATGGCATTGCAATAGAAACTTTAGTACTAAGGAGTTAAATTTAGACTACAATGTTGAGAAATAGCTCCTACTTACACATGAGCTTGAAGGTAGATATTTAAGATACTGATCATCTACCTTTATTGAGTTTTCCACCTGCTGTGTTTAAAAAGAATGTCAGCTAAGTCTTAATTTAGCTAACCTCTCCAGTAACAACTACTTGCGTAAGCAGAAGAATCTCACAGTTCACAGGAAATAAAGCCCAACTGATTCAAGGTTGTTCAGTCCTGGCAATATCAAGATACTACACGGCTTTCATAGAGAAGTTATATTCCTAAGAACGTTAATAAAAAAACAGAGGTTTCTATTGATTACTTGTTAGGAATTCAGAAACATTTTTATTCTTTACCAAGACCAGCGTCTTCTCTGTACTACTGTTCCAGCAATCTTCTTCTTCCAGCCTCCATTCAGAAATACCATATTTGCTTTGTATGTGCGCATTTAGTTCAGTTATGAGACAAGGAAGAGATGTAATAGCAGCTGTAGTTAAATATTCTCTATTTCCAAGATAATTTTTGTCAGTCTTCAGGACTAGACAACAGTTAAAATTCAGTCTTGCGAAACTATTATTTCTGCTGCAGTTCTCTTTCTAAGTCCCCCCTGAGGTTTTAGAGAATTTTTTGTGACAGCATTTTTTGGCAGGCATGGGAATTGTCAACAAATGGATTTGCTTGGTTTGTTTTTGTTGCAGACAAAAAAGAATTATTTGAAACACAACTGTAATTGACCCACAGAAACACCATGTCTTCAATTGCTACTACTAGAAACTAATGAATAAACACAAAGTGCTGTTTAAAATTGGCTCTATGAACAGTAGAAATGGATCACTGGAGAAACAATTCAGTGTGACACTAGAAGGCTCACATATAAGTAGTGATATTATTTTCAGTGCCTAATAGATAGAATTCTACCTCTCCTGTGCAGTTAAGAACTGATGTCAGAGATGAAATCGGGTGGGTTTCCTCATTCTTATGAACAACACTAGCCTTATTAGCTCTTACACTTTATGGATTGCTGCTATAACCAAATGTTTATGTTATGAGTAGTCAGTCTGTACATAAGAATATGCAGAATGCTATGACAAACATGAGAGGATACATCACTGCCAGAGACCCAGTAAAAAATTTAAGTGGCCTCAGACTACTTTCAATATTAATTTTAATGTGTTCTTAATATTTGAAAAGTGTACCTTTAGCACCACATTTATTTAAGCAATGATTACTGTTCAGAAGCGCAAGGGTGAAGGCAGACCATGAAAACATGTACTGTTCATAAAGAGCACAATACCCGAGAAACATTCCAGTCTATTAAACCAACAGCCTTACATCTGCAAGCTTATTGACATGCTAGAGGGTTAGCAAAGTGAATGCTGCAGATTAGTCAGCACATTATTAGAATTTCAGACAAACTGGTTGAGATACCTGCTGCCTTCCTCTCTGCATAGACTTCGACATTCAGTGACATACAAAAAACTGTTCTTTAAAACTCTGATGGATAACCTAAAAGTACCACCAGTGTCATACCAGTAGATGTCTGCAAATTGTTGCCAGAATCAAGTCATACTCCCAGTCAAGTTACATGTACAACAGTTTTCTTACTGGAAAACAAACAAGATCATTAAGGGTACTCAATACTCCAAAATCAAGTAAATATTTGCATTTCCAGAAGAAATGCAAAGATTCAAATTTTCCTGACAAAATGAGTTCTAGAGGACAGCCATCCAAATTTGTACAGCACTATTTCATAATAGCTTTTGGAAAAGGCTCTTAAGTCTATACTAAAAAAAGAAATGGCTCTTCAACAACAGTTGACCCTATATGTAATGCATCATAAGAATCAAAATTAATGAGTTTTTACAGTTTTATGAAATAAATTTTATATAAGAACAACAGGTCACACAACAGAAAAACAAAATCCAGTGTTACATACTTATTCGTGTACTTACAAATTAGGAATTTCTCAAGCTACACATGAACAAATGGCCTAGTTTATACAACAAAAAAATGCTCTTGATTAACTAACAATACATTGCACACAAGTTTTGACCTTGAAATGATCAAACTACAGCAAGTGTGCCTTATCCCCAATGCAAGTTAATCATCTTGTTTTTAAGAACTACAAAACAAATATTAAAAAAAAAATCATGATTTAAAAAATACTGACATTGGTTCACATTTCTGCGTCCTCAACACTTCTCTACTGATGTTCTCTACAGACTCCAGTATTTTTTCTGAGCAAATTACATGCTCCTTTTGTGTAAGATCCATTGAGAATTTGCTTTGACTCAGTTTGCTGAGTCAAACTCTTTACATCCGAAAGCTTCTTGTTCTCTGAAATGGTTGAAAAGGCTTTCTTAAAGCCCACATCAGAAGTGGTGGCTTCTGTTTCGATTTTTCCGGAAACAGCACTGCTTCAGTTTCAGGGGTAGGAAATCGTACTCTATACACTTCAGGGTAAGATTTCTGAAACTAGAAAAAGAAATTAATTTAAATGAAGAATTCACTCATATTTGTCATTTTAAAATAAGAATTGTCATATCCATGAATGGAGCAAGAAAATTCCCCCAACACACTCTCTATATCTCTGTATAGAAAATTAAGTTTTGTTTTCCAGTATGGCTTATTCACCATGGCACTTCTATTCTAAACAATTAAATGTTATAAATGCCCAAGATTATCTACTGCTTTGAGAGTCATTATTTTTTAGAGGACCATAAATGTAAAAATCTATACAGCTTTTCAAAATTAAATAAATACTGGAGAAATTTTTACTTACTTGTTTGAGTTTCTTCTTCTTGTCTTTCACAGATATTTCTTTATTCGTTGCAATTTCTTCTAATAAAGCTGCCAGCGGTTCCTGAGAGCCAGTTGCCCTTTGGTATTCAAATTCATCTGCGCTGATTTGATGGCAAAATGATGGAGCAGGAAAAGTCGCATCAGTGTCAGCTCCAGCATATTTTATCTGGAGAAAGAATAAAAAGAAAAGTTGTTCTCTGCAACAAATTTGGGAAAAAAGACAAGAACCTCACCAAGTTAACTACTGTGTCATTACAGTCATTAAATATTACTCAAAGTCATTCAACAGAAAAAGAGAAGACTACAAATTCTACTTCCTACCTCTTGCACAAATTGAGTGAATTCTAGTAAGTCAAGAAGTATGAAACATTGGAAGCCCGTGTAATTCTTAGAAAAATAAATGGCTAAGTACTTCAGTGGAAATCAATAAATGTTGAACTAAACATGAAAATATGATATTGGAAAAAGGAAATGAAGTTATGATAAGGTCGAGTACATGTGGATGCCTTCAAAATATTGTGATCCCATTCCTGGAGAAGATGAAGTTGACCAAGATGGGAACATGTTTGTCCCTAAGACGTCCAAGATCTGTTTAGTTTCATTTAACTACATAGTTATGATGGAGTATCAGTAGCCAAAACAAACTAGCTCTTAATATGCTAGCAGAGACAGACAAAAGTCTAAGATACATCAAACTCAGGAGCAGGAGGCATGATTTTGCTATTGAAGCAGAGTGACAAAAGGTGTTTCTTCCCACTAGACACCTACTTGAACTCTTTGGACATGTACAACATGTTCCTCTATAGAAGATTTTAAGGAGGATGGAACACTTAATATCTCCTGATAATTGTCCATGAGAAAAGATACTAGCTTAGCAGCAAGCAGTTCATCCAAGTCCATTTCATCCTTAGAGCAGAGAATACAACGGGAAAATGCTTGAACCATCTGAGAAAAAAAAAAGTTTACTTTACTTTTCTATTTATAGAGAAAAAATTGCATGTATTAAAATCTTTCCTAAAAGATCTCTTGACAACAAAACACTCACCATACTTCCGAAAAATAAACAAATAAAAAAATTTAAAAAATAAGCACTGTGTACTGTACTGACACCGAATGGATCGAAGATGACTCTTGCCTCAAACAATCTAATGCTGACCTAAGGCATAGAATGGCTGCTCTTCATTTTACTCTCAAGCATTTCACTCGGCCTTTCCAGTCAAATAGAGCATAAATTTCATAATTTTTTAAAAACAACACAGAAATTGAATAGAAGTTAAGTGGCAGAAGGAAACCTTAATGCCATTACTTTCTAATCCTTCAAATAAAATTTCAGGTGCAGCTCACTACATGTAAATGAACACTCAGATATGAGACTACAAGCTTTCTAGCTGTGTACTAGTCACTATTAACATTTCTAGCACAGAAGAACAAAGTTTTTTGCTTTGTGATGTAGATTAAACCACTGAAATAAAATATAATACAAAGTACTTGGATTGTATAGGATTCACTTAAAAAAATAACATTTACCTTATAATTACGTTATTTTTGTAAAAAATATCATTTACAGTTAATTAATTAAAAGTATCAGTCAATAATTCAATTATCTTAATAAAATATCATTATTACTAATTAAAATCTTCATTGTTACAGAAAAAATTCAGATGTAGACATCCTAAGATTTTTATGGAATGGCTGAGCTTTCCAATGCTCTACTCCTTGCAGAGAACTTAAATGTTAACAAAAAGAAATAGTGGAATAGCTAAATTTTGCCTAAAATAAAACCAATACAAATGTGACTGTGATAATGTCATTTTTGTAGGACTATTTATATATTTATCACAGTTTTCATTGACATTAGCGTAGAGTAGGGGTTTGTCAAATTATGAATAAAAATGATATACAGAAAAGAATGTTTCTGTAGTTAAGTGAAGAACAAAAATGAGTACTGAAATCAGTTGGCACGATTTGCTTTTCTCATTGCAAAAACAAAAAAAATTCAGACATATATTTTTAACTTTAATTCAAGCAGGCAGTCTGTTTCTCTCACACTTTTTGCAATTATGAAGAACAGAGACCTCATCTTCTATTATTCTGTCATTATTGTACTCTCAATAGTCAGTCTGTTTAAGTCTGCATTGAAAAAAAATCAGAGGGGATTTAACTTTAAGGTGGGGGAAACCTTCAAGTCCTGCGCAAGTTCTGCATTTGCTCACAAGCTCAAAAGCAACTTGTTCAAATTCAGAGATGTTTTTGCATAATTGGAATAGAGAAACTATTCATCAAATAAGCAAGCCTTACTTTACATATGCTCTCCAGTAAGAGAGAGTAGCTTTTGCTACTCCAAAAGCCTTGTGAGATCTTCTGTCTCATTACTATACATACCAAAACTCTGGTCCTCACTGATTCAGAAAGAGGTGGCAAATCCTTGTTAAAGCTAATTCTTGCCATCATTCTCACCAACAGCTGCAGTTTTCTCCGATTTTCTGGTGGCAGCAGGAGACAAGATATTTGAAGAGCTTCTATAGCCTCGCTGTGTTTTTGCAGCAGACCTGGTTTACCATTTAAAAAAAAAAAAAAAAAAGTAACACAGAAACATTTCTCAATTACCTATTTCCACAGTTATTTTCTAAATATCTTAAGAATCCATCTCCCCAGATTCCTTTTCTGGGAAGGAAGTGTATTCTTCCCAGGTTATCTGTCCTGACTTGCACTTTCTGTAGGTTTTCTTTTTGTGTTTGAGTTCAGCCAGCAGTTCCTTGTTCATGCATACAGGTCTCCTGATATTTTTGCCACTTTCTCTGTGCTGGGATACATTGCTCCTGATCTTGGAGGCAATCTTTGAATTAGCATTCTTGAGCCCCTCTTCCCTCTAGTGCTTTGTCTCACTCTAGTAAGAAGATTCCTGTAGATGCTAAAGTCTGCTCTCCTGGGGTTGAAAGTTTGTTGTGAACCTTTGATTCCACTCCACCATTCCAAGGTAACTGCAGCCAAGACTTCCTTGGACTTCAGATTCCCCACAGGCCCCATCCTGTTAGTGTATTACGTAGTACATCTCCTCACTGGCTTTTCTACCCTTTGGAGAAGGAAGCAGGTCCAAAGAAGGGCAGCAAGATTTATGAATGGCTTGGAGAATATGTCCTACAAGGAGCACTGGAGCTGTTCAGTCTGGGGTAAGGAGGCTGAGGAGAGATCTTACTGCTCTCTTCCAACATCTGAAAGGTGCTTACAGTGCCTTACAGTTGGTCTCTTCTGAATGGTGACAGGACAAGGGGAAATGGCCTCAAGTTGTGCCAGGGTAAGCTTAGGTTGGATATCAGGAAGCACTTCTTTACAGAAAGGGCTGTTAAGCACTGGCATAGGCTCCCCAGTGAAGTGGTTGAGTCACCACCCCCGGATGTGTTTAAAAACTGTTTGGATGTGGTGCTCAGGGACATGATTTAGCAGAGGGTTGTTAGAGTAAGTGTAGTATGCTTAGGTTGTGGTTGGACTCTACGATCTCTAAGGTCTTTTCCAACCTGAGCACTTCTATGATTCTATGATTTGTTCCAGGAATCTTCAAGAGTGCTGTCCCTCCAGTAGATACCACAGCGCTTAAAGGCCCCTAGGACCAGGCCTTGTGAAATTTCCATCTGAGTAAAAGGCCTCATTCACATGTTCTTCCTATTCAGACAGCCTACAGCAGATCACCATCATAATGTCACCTGTCCTTGCCCTCGTTTAATCCATAAATTTCGTCTGTTCCTCATCTACTCCCAGGCAGAGCTCCACACACTTCAGCTGGTCACTGAGTAGAGTGACTTCACCTCACCTAAACGTCATTCTTAAAGAACCTGTGCCCATCCCATCACGCCTCTGTGATACCAATAAGATCAGAGACCAACAGGCATACACAAGTAATTCCTCATTTATTCCCCACATTATTTGCATGTGCATAGAGTTAGGTCCCTTATTTGCTTTCCTACTACTAGTAAGAACTATTTTTTGTGTACAAAAAGGAGAGTGAGACATCACAACAGAAGATGAGTTGCCTTCTTGAACTTCTTTTTCTAGCTGAAGAGGGAAACTAATAATTGAATCATAAAAAAGTAAAACAGCGTGAAAAAAACACCTGGGAATACTCTAGACCAACCACTCTTATCCTTACATAATTGAAGGTACTTAAATCAAGTATCCCAAGACATCCCATTACAGCCACATGAAACTTTTTAGACATTTAAATGCCTGTAAATTGGTGTCCAGAGTAGGCTGCCTAGGCAAAGCTAGAAAGATCTGACAATTTCAAACATATACTGCTGGTATTTTTAAGTAGATTGGCAAAGTATGAAGATTGAAAACAAAGTAGTTCTTAAAATCCTATACCTTCATGACTTGTATATATTTATTTTTGTTTTTAAGGAAAAATTCCATATGGAATATATATATATATATATTTGTTTTTTTGTTTTTTTTTTCACACTTATTTGAAAGAGTGCACAATTTCTTTTCACTTGTACAGAAGTGTTGATATGAATTGCTCATTCTCATTTTTACATCTGGAATGCTGTGAAATGAAACTCAGTCCTGAAACATACTAAATACAATAGAAAAGCAAAAAAAAGCATGAAAGAGTAGGAAGGATCTAAAAGATATTGTCAGGAACATTTGTTGCCTCAGAAGAAAAATTCCAAAATGGAACTATAATCAATTTGAAGTAAGATAGTGAACTAAATACTAACAAAATGCAAAAATACTAAATTCCTAAAAAATGTCAGTAACTGATAGGCCCCTTTACTATCTGAAGAATTGTTACATAACCTTAGCAGTTATTGAACGTAATTGTTCTGAAATCTTTTTTCAGTTACAAAGATCATAAAATGCAGTGTTGCGCCTCTTAGCAAAAAGGGCCGAAAAACAGCATGCCACAAAGCATGTTTACTTTTAAACCCAGAATTCTTTCCTATTTTTCCTAATTTTTCATATTTTTGATATTTCTATGGGTCATCTACTTCTATGTGGTAAGTTAATTTGTTTTGGTTGATGCTTAAAAAGCTATAGCTAAAAATTAAACTGTCTTTAAAGCACCAGGAATACATTTCTTGTTACATCCCAGACCACTTACCTAACACACTAACAAAAACATCAAAAAAATTAAATGTAAGAAGTGGTTCTTTCATCTGGCCAAAGTAGTCCACTATTGTTTTGAAGACATCTCTTTCAAATCCTGAATATGTAGGTTGCTTCAAATCTGAGCAGATGGGCCCTATTAAAAAAAAAAAAAAAAAAAGTTAATTTGCAGCTAATCAACTGTTTGCTATTCCAGCCACTACAAGTGCAAATTCATGCAGGAAAGAAGCTTAGATACACTATTAAAAATAGTTTATTTATATTTCTAACAGATCTAGTGAAAACAAACATAATTGAGGGAAAAGTAGAAATAGTTTAACCTTAAGATATTTCAGTGAAGTAAACTGCACTGACAGGAGAACATATGCTCACTGACTGATCTTTTTCAACATTGTTTTCAAGGCCATTATCAGAAAAAATACTGACTATGAATATCACTGATATTTGGTGAAATGCTGATGAAGTGGTGAATCATCATGAAGATGATTTTTTTCTTAAGTGACATTTTAGGTTCTATTCCAAGTTTACTTACAATTCGCTAGGCATTTCATTGCTGACAATATCCAGTGAGGTAGGTCCTCTGCACAAGGGAAAAATTAAAAAAATGTAAATGAAAGTGTAACTCAGGTGTTTGTTTTTTGTTGTTTGTTTTTTTTTCTAGTACAAATTCTAAGATCATAGTGAACTCAAAATTCTTAATGACGTTCCTCTTATAAAGTAGACTGCAAGGAAAAAAAAACAGATTACTACTTAATATAGAGAGAAATAACTTCTGTCAGATTACAAACATAGTATATTCAGTGCTTCAATATCAACCAGTTACAACTCTTGCAGCTTAATAAGGAAAATTGTATCATATAGTATTAATCTGCCTTGCAAAATTTAACCAAACATATTGGATTTTCTGTAAGGGACTAATGAATGTGTAAAGTGGTTATTTTGTACTATGCATGTTGAAAAGCATTCATATGTTCAGTTTCGTCATTTCTGAAAAGAGGAAAGCAATATCCTGAAGTCTTCCAACTGTCTGGAGAACTAACACATAAATGCTTTAGACATGGTTACTTTCATAAACCAAATCAGGTTCCTACCTGATGTTTCACTTCTCTACAGATCTTGTGGAAAACATGGTTACAATATTAAGTAATCTCTCATATCATATTTAATGTTTCCCTAGTGAGAAAAACAGTTTTACACGTTGCTTCTTTCAAAATATACTGACTGAAAATGCAAAAATTAAAAGTTCTAAGCCTCTCTGTATATATTCTCATCCTTTTTTTTTTTTTTTTTTACTACATGTTGCTCTCCTGTAGACACTCCAGGCACAGATAAGCTGACAAAGGCAGCTTCAAAAAATACATCCCCACAATTCTAACTGAAAAATGTCAGTTCCTTCACCTTTGTTCAATATTGCTGTGATGGTTTCATGCTAGTAAGTAGGCTAAACTTCACCATACAGTTCTCATTCCCTCTCAGTCTCCCAAGGGAAGAAAATATGATGAAAAAAATTTGCAAGTTGAGATGGGGCAGATCACTCACCAATCAGTGTCACAGGCAAAACAGATTCAAGGGAAATTAATATAATATGTTGTCTATTGATAATAACAAACTAAAGCAGTGAAACTGAAAGCAAACAACAGTCTGTCATGGAGTTGACCAGATCAATCTATGTCCATGACAGGGGCAACAGGCCTCTGCCCTCCCCCCCCACCTCAGTCCCACAAAAATGGGAAGGAAGGAAGGGAGGAAAAGAGCAGCGGCAGCAATCTATGGAGGAAAACTTATTTTACTATAATATTGGAATACAAGATAACACAATATATACAATTTAACTGAAATTGAGATTAATAGATCAGACAAGATGAGAGAGAGAGAGTTCCCGGGACCGATTCAAACCTGGAAAGCTTGGAACAGCTAGGAAAGCACCTCCAGCACCCACTGCCAGGCAGCAAGAGAGCGCCCCCCCACCCGGAAGGGCCAGATCTGTGACTGCTGTAATGTACAGGGATAGGTAGCTGGGACTGGGGCAGTGACACTTTAATGCCCTGTACACTACAAGATGTTTTGATGTGGAATACTGAAACCCAAAAACAAAAAAAACATAGAACCATGACACAGTCCCTATCACCCAGTCATCTAGAATGGGATACCTAATATCTAGATGTAGTTTTCTGTGCGGGCTTCCCAAATGTTCTATTTCTCCAATACTCTCCAATGTGAGTCAGTACCACAGAGTCCACCCTCCAGGAGTTAAATGTTCAAGTATGGATCCTCCACGGGTGGCAGCTCTAGCACAGGACCTACTCCAGCAAAGAACTCCATGAACTGCAGCATCTTTCAGGACACAATTCTGCTGTGCCGTGGACTCCTTCACAGAATGCAAGTGGGGATATGCTCTGGGCCTGGAGTGCCCCCTGGCCTTTGCCCTCATACACTCCTCTCTCCCCCTGCTGTTGTGCAGCATTTTTTCTCCTTTCTTAAATATGATCTCACAGCATGACTCACTGAATCATTCACTGGATCATTTTTGGCTATCACTGGGACTTTTTTGGAGCCAGGTGGCACTGGTTCTGAGCTGACATGGGGCAACTGCTGGGCTCTTCTTACAGCATCCTCTTTGCTGCCAAAGCTTTCCCACATAAACCTAATACATGTACTAAAGCAGGGACATTAAAATGTGAGGATGGAGAAAAGAAAACTGATTCTTGCTGTTGGGGTACACAACAACAGTACATTTCATAAAAACTCTAGTTTTTTTAATGTGGTTATAAAAGTGTAAAGTTGCTATGTATTTGTATAAATCAGAGTTATGTTGTTTTTTAAAAATAATAAACTACAACCTAAGAAGTTAAACAAGAACTTCTGAAATACTCACTTGATTTGTCTTCTAACGTGACAATGCCTTGCTTATTGACATTGTATGCATTTTGGACAATATGCTTTGAATTCACAAGCTTTGTATCTATCACTTCATCCAGGCAATCCAAACCCAAGACTTTTTGTAGTCTGTAAAAATACATTAAAAACACAACAAATACATTAATAATCTAATTTGCAAGAAAATATATAACATTAGGGCAGATACAGTTGTGAAAGAGACCTTTTACACTTATTATTTAAGTCATAAGCATGCAAAGGAAGATTAGAGCAGACTGACACTATTCTCTGATCACACAGTTTCTGTGTGAACAGGGAACTGTTCCTGAGGCTCCGGGAGAAAAAGAGAACCTACCGCCTGTGGAAAGAGGGACAGGCCACTCAAAATGAATACAAGGAAGTTGTTAGGATATGTAGAGGTGAAATCAGAAAGGCAAAAGCCCAGCTTGAATTTAACCTAGCCGCTGGGGTGAAAAGGAATAAGAAACTCTTTTATAAATACATTAACAGTAAGAGGAGGACAAAGGAGAATATCCACTCTTTGCTGGATGAGGCTGGGAATGTGACCACTGAGGATAAGGAAAAGGCGGAGGTTCTGAATGCCTTCTTTACGTCTGTCTTTAAAAGTCAGACCAGTTATCCTCAGGATACTCCTCTCTCTGACCTGGTAATCTCGGCTGGGGAGCACACTAACCCCCCCGTGATTCTGGAGGAAACAGTCAGAGACCTACTGCTCCAACTGGACTGCCACAAGTCGATGGGGCCAGATGAGATCCACCCAAGAGTGCTGAGGGAACTGGCGGAGGTGATAGCCGAGCCGCTTTCCATCATCTGTCAAAGCTCCTTGTTGACTGGTGAGGTCCCAGAAGACTGGAGGCTTGCCGATGTGACTCCCATTTATAAGAAAGGTCGTAAGGAGGATCCGGGGAACTACAGGCCTGTTAGCCTGACCTCGGTGCCAGGGAAGGTTATGGAGCAGATTGTCTTGAGGGAGATCATGCGGCATGTGCAGGGTGACCGGGGGATCAGGCCTAGCCAGCATGGGTTCATGAAGGGCAGGTCCTGTTTGACCAACCTGATCTCCTTCTATGATCTAGTGACCCATCTGGTGGATGAGGGAAAGGCTGTTGATGTGGTCTACCTAGACTTCAGCAAAGCCTTTGACACCGTCTCCCACAGCATTCTCCTGCAGAAGCTGGCAGCCAGAGGCTTGGATAGATACACTCTTGGCTGGGTAAGGAGCTGGTTGGAGGGCCGGGCACAGAGAGTGGTGGTGAATGGAGTCAAATCCAGCTGGCAACCGGTTGTGAGTGGTGTTCCCCAGGGGTCGGTGCTGGGGCCTGTCCTCTTCAATATCTTTATTGATGACCTCGATGAGGGCATCGAGTGCACCCTCAGTAAATTCGCAGATGACACCAAATTGGCTGGAAGTGTGGATCTGCCTGGGGGTAGCAAGGCCCTACAGAGGGATCTGGACAGGCTGGAGAGCTGGGCTGAAGCCAATAGGATGAGTTTCAACAAGGCCAAATGCTGGGTCCTGCACTTCGGCCACAACAACCCCAGGCGACGCTACAGGCTTGGGGCAGTGTGGCTGGAGGACTGCATAGAGGAAATGGACCTGGGGGTATTGATTGATGCTCGGCTGAACATGAGCCGACAGTGTGCCCAGGTGGCCAAGAAGGCCAATGGCATCCTGGCTTGCATCAGAAACAGTGTTGCAAGCAGGAGCAGAGAGGTGATTGTTCCCCTGTATTCAGCACTGGTGAGGCCGCACCTCGAGTGCTGTGTCCAGTTTTGGGTCCCTCACTGCAAGAAAGATATTGAGGCCCTGGAACGTGTTCAAAGGAGGGCAACAAAGCTGGTGAGGGGTCTGGAACACAGGCCATATGAGGAGAGGCTGAAGGAGCTGGGAATGTTCAGCCAGGAGAAGAGGAGGCTCAGGGGAGACCTCATTGCTCTCTATAACTTCCTGAAGGGAGGCTGTAGTGAGCTGGGGGTCGGCCTCTTCTCTCGTGTCATTAGTGATAGGACCAGGGGGAATGGCTTCAAGCTGCGGCAGGGGAGATTCAGGCTGGACATGAGGAAGTATTACTTTTCAGAAAGGGTGGTCAGGCACTGGAATGGATGCCCAGGGAGGTGGTGGAGTCACCGACCCTGGGGGTGTTCAAGGAAAGGCTGGATGTTGTGTTGAGGGACATGGTTTAGTAGGAGCTATTGGGAATAGGTGAACGGTTGGACTGGATGATCTTTTAGGTCTTTTCCAACCTTGGTGATTCTATGATTCTATGATTCTATGATTCTATGCTGCACTGCACTAGATCAAGTTTATTACATAGAGATAGTATGCCAGGCTTAGATGAAAAGATATCATAGTGTAAAATTATCTAAAGCATATTTTTGCAGGACAAAAAAAACGTTCTAAAATAAAGTATTTAGTTTTGCATAGGATATTCCTTACGAAAAACGTAAGGAATTTCTCTAAGACTTCTAGACATAGCTATTTCTTCATATTAAGTTTTGTACTTTTCATTAAAAGGCTTAATGGTGTCTTACTTCTACATGAGTTCTTCAATTTCATAACAGGAGAAGGGAAAGATTCAGGGAAAAATGTGATAAAACAAAACAAAGCCCACACAATAAAAGAACTGAAATAGTACAAGAGAAGGAAGTCAGGTAGTACTGAAGTTTTCTTGTGAACTTGATCTGCTGATTTTGCAGGAAAGTTAGTATTACTAACATGCATACTCACCGTGACAAAGTCATTGATTTCCATATCTCTTCTATGTTTTCTTGTGTTAACTCCCTGCGGAAAACAAGCTTGCATGCTGGTACTTCCCCTATAGCTATACTGTGACGCTTGTACCACATTTCAGAATTCTAAAATCAGAAGGAAAAAAAAAACAGCGCTGCTCACTAGCCAGTGATTTTTCAAATACTTAACAGTGTACCACAAATGTGTAACAATGCAATAATTTTAAAATGTCTTAAAATCTAGCAAAATCTCCAAGATGCAAGCATTTTAGCTTTCATATGCACCGCATCTTTTCTCTGTTACTTAGCATCTCCAAAGCTGAAAAAATGATCTGAGTGGCCATTAAAATCCACATTAAAAGTCAGTGGTCTAGAACACGGTTCACATCTTGTTCAGGACCAAAACCAGTTCATATCAACTACCATACTAAGACTAAACACTTGTTTATAGAAAAATTATTGGAAAATTTTTAGGTGAGATAAAAACTTTTTTTTTGTTCTTGTTCACTGTATGTTGATAATAATTAAATAGTAAACTTACTAGCAAGTTCAAAACAGCAATAAAGTGAAAGCGCACAGTTACAGATAAAGACATCCACCTTATCTAATCTATCATTATTAAAGAGAAGTAAAGAGAGTACAAGTTCATGTGACTATTATCCTTTACTCAGTCTTCACATTCAAGTTCGGTGCTTGAAAACTGTCATCAGATAAGTGCACATACAATGCAGGCTGTGTTCATAGCATACTCTAAAGCAAAGTTCTGGATCATTCCTAGTTACTGTGCAATGATTTGCACCACAGCAGTCCTACATCAAATTAACAGCATTCTTCACAACTAAATCATAAAATGCACTCCAGGAATGCACCTAATCACTCCAACTGCTAACAGTCACTCTAGGACACTAGACTTGAGATAGTTTGAAATGTAAAAAAATCCTCTGCAATTAGTATCTGGCTTTCTGCATCAGTATTTCACTGCCCAGATCCCTGTCTATCAATTCACACATAGCCAATAAGCACTCTATTTGATGCTGCAGCAATTTAAGTTTTGATTAAACCACCTCAAGTTACCTGTCCACTTCACCTTTTTTTTTTTTTTTTTTTAAAGGCAGCTAGCCTTAAAAAAAAATAATAATAATAAAAAAAATTTTTTCCTTTGCATCATTTGTATAGTGGCACATCTGAGACAGTTGTACATAAACAGACATTTGATAGCATTTTCCAGGACAGGATGCTTGAATGGAAATTTAGAGCAAACAGCTGGAATCTGTAATGTATTAAAACTGCAGCAAGTACTTACTCAGTAACTAAAACACTCTATTTTTTTTTACTCGCCCTCTGCACTACCTTTTCTTTCCTCCGTATAAATCTTTTACCCACTATTGAAGTTCTGAGGACCATGCCTCCACATAGAACTTGCTGCACATGCAAAGAACATTTGATTTGCATGTAAATAATTGCATTGCAAGTGTGGAATAGCTATTTGCTCAGAACCTCTTAATGTTCAGCAGAACAATAGGAACTGCTTTTCCAAACAGGCTATCATTCACCAAGAAATCCAAGGCAAAAGTCTTGCACTGAACAGCATCAATAAAAAGGCTAAAATTCTAAAAGAAATCCCAGCAGTACATAAAAAGGATGAGAACGCAATTTAAACAGAAAGAAAGGTTTAGAAGAAAGGAAATTCAAAAGGCTTAGGCTTTTAGTATATAAAATATAAAACAAGGGACAATTTCTTTTTAACAATAAAAGCAACATTTTTTCCCAACTTTGTAAAAGCTGGATCAATCCAAGTGAGCACAGAGCAGGATGATTCTCCAAGCTCACCAAGTACAGCAACAGAAGGAGGACAGCTTCTCCTTCAACGCAATGTATTCCTTGTAGAAAAGGAAACGTAATCACCAGCAACTTTACAGTATATAGCAAGGAATTATATTATGCATGTTCTCCAACATGAAGTGTCAGAATAGAAGTTATATTGTAAGCAACAGTAAAGGAATTATTATGTCTTATATGATAAGAAACACATCACTTGAAATAGAGCACACTGAGATGCAAATATATTGGCAAATGCATCCATGCTGAACTAGGACGCTAAGTACATTACAGTCTATAACAGAAAGAATACTCAAAGCCAAAATCTTCAGCAAATCATTCAGAACAACTTTGCTCCACGCAATTAGAAGTATTTTACATTTAATTCTCTAACCAAGTAGTTTGTGGCACAATGAAGAATTCCTGATTGAATTTTGCTTTCCAAATGTGTATAGGTCTGGAGAAATTAACTGAGTATCTTACCATGATCGATTTCACAGGAATGTGTTCTTGGGAAGTGCCAGCCTTTGGATCATTCCAATCTGGAAATTTAATGACTTCCTTTCCAAATGAAGGTTTCTTTGGGTATGGCTTCAGTGGTGAGGAAGGAGGAAATCTATAATTGGAGAACACTTTTAAAACTTCTGAACTTCACATTATTCCATATTTACCAAAGGAAAACTATGGAAGTAAGCTTTCACATACACAAGTACAGCAAAAGCCTTGGACATTTACAGAGCACCTTAATTGCCTGAAGATAGGTGTTAAGTAAAAGGTCAAACATCCTAGGATGAGTCATTTGACCTTTACCTGCTTTTCCAGAATAGCTGAAGCCCTTTGTATATTCTATGATATAACTGAAAGCCTTGGGTAGATGTCTTTGGTGTATCTCAAACAGCACCACCTGACTATTCTTTAGAAGGTGGGTTTTTGCTGAAAAAGCTGTAGGTAGGTTTTTCACCATGTGCAAAGCAAAGATACATAATTAAGTCACATGACCTATCATTTGCATTTAACTAGCATGCACACAAATCAGTGCATAAAGTTCTGTCCGCATTACCATATTCTTTTTGTCTACATGCTTTCTATGCAAAGATCATATCTTGCAATTCGGAGTCTTTTCCAGCTGGTTGAGAAGGAAACTTTCACCCTTTAATGCATTTCAAGAAGTGCCTTGAAGAAATTGGCAGAAATAAACCCTAAGCTAGACCTTATAGGTACTAGAAGACAATCCTCACCCTGCTGGGAGCGTATGTAAAAAAAATTAATGACAGCACATTTGAAATAAATCTGATTATAATCTTCCCATCAATCTGACTCAGATCAAATCTCATTTACCCACACTCCCAAGTTTTAGATGCTAAGATTCCTGATGCTCTAAGAAATTGCTTTTACCTCCCTCATCCCCTTATCAGTGTGTGAAGGACAGTTATAGCTATGCCTAAGCAACAAGAACTTGTGCATGAGTAGATATCACACAATCATATCCTGCCATAAAGTTTCTCATACTCAAGATTTCTCAAGTTCTCTAAAATTTTAGTCCACCTTTTTAATCCCAACATCTAATTAGCTTTCACATTAATTTTATTTTCTAGTTTTATTGGGTTAAGAATCTTATTTTTCTTTTGTTTTACAATATTCTCAGTAGTTTCCCATTTCCCTTCTAGCTCATCCTAACACCTGAATCTGTCAATTTCCTCAATCAGGAGAGAAGCTCTTGAAACCAGAAAAAGTAGGTGCATTCCCCTCTTCTCAAATAAGATGTCATGATTTTATGGCCTTTTTTTAATCAGTATATCAGACAGATCTAGAGAAACTCCATGACATAGCATTACAGTAAGATTCATATGGTCAAGCTTTTGGACGGACGGTGAAAAGTCTCTGGTTTCTACACAAAAATAACCCAAGAATTAGATTGAAACTGAGAAGCGTTCCAAAGTTGATGTGTCAAGATTTACACTGTTTTCTACAAACAGCACTAGTTTTAGCAGTTTAGACAAGCAGGTAGCAAAGATACCTTTTTGTGTCAATTAACCGTTATCACAGATGAAATCCCAAACATCTGAAAGCAACAGGAAGACTGAAGGCAAACACTTGAAAGGAATTAAGAAGTTATCACGCAAGAAGACAGCAAGGCCAGCTGTCCAGCTGAAGTAAGTGCCTCTACACCAACACATGCAGCTTGGGAAACAAACAAGAGATAGAAGCCACCAGTGGCTCCTGGAAAACCACTATGTAGTTGCCATCACTGAAACCTGGTGGATGATTCCCATGACTGGAGTGTGGCTATTGACAGCTACATGTTGTTCAGGAAGGACAGGCAGGGAAGGAAGGGAAGAGGCATTTCCCTCTACATCAAGGAATAAATACTGTGTGAAGAGCTGCCCCTGAAAAACAGCCATGAGCAAAGTAAAAGGCTACAGGTGAGAGACAGAGGCAACAAAAGAAGCTTTGTGGTTGGTGTCAAATGCAGGACACTTGATCAAGCAAAGCCTGTTGATGAAGCCTTTCTCCAGCTACAGCAGACACAATGATCGCAGGCTCTCATCCTGCTGAAAGACTTTCAGCTACCCTGGCATCTGCTGGAAAAGGAGTACAGTGAGCTGCAGGCACTTGGAGTTTCCTGGATTACATCAAGGGTAACTTCCTGAGCAAAGTAATAGACAGCCCCACCAGGGGGATGCAATACTGGACCTGTTGTTCACTAACATAATTGGAGTCTCCCTGGGCTGCAGTGATAATGCAGTGGTGGAGTTCACACACACTTGAGGGATACTGGATAGGCAGAGACTAAAATCAGGAAGCTTAATATTAGGAAAACCAAATTCTAGCTCTTCAGGAAGTTAGATAACAAAATTGCAATGGAAATAGCCCTCAGTGACAAGGGAGTGTAACAGAGCTGACAGGTATTTAAGGAAGCTTTCCTTAGCGCTCAAGAGCTTTTCATCTCCACATGAAGGAAGTTAGGGAAAAGGAGGCATGGCTGAACCAGGGAGCCTGTTCATCAAACTGGAGAGCAAGAAGAAAACGCACAGGCAGTGAAAGCAAGGACAAGTAACCTGAGAGGAGTATAGAGGTACTGCTAGGCTGAGTAGGGATGGGATTAGGAAGGCCAAAGCCCAACCAGAACTGGACTTGGCAAAGGATGAAAGAGTCCTGCAGGTACATCAACCAGAAAAGTACAGTGAGCAACACAAGTAGGCTGGTAAAAAAAGATAAGGAAAAGACTGAGATACTCAACATCTTTGCTTCAGCCTTCACTAGCTGGTGCTCTACACACAGCCCTCAAGCAGGTGGTTCAGAAGGTGGAAATTGGCTGAGCAGTGCCCATTCTGCTGTAAGCAGAGATCAGGTTTGTGATCATCTGAGGAAACTGAACATCCATAAGTCTGAGTTCCACTGAAATGCATTACAGCATCCTGGGGGAATTGGTTGTCACAGTCAAAACACTCTCAACGGTATTTAAAAATTCCTGGTACTCAGATAAAGTCCCTGGTGACTGGAGAAAAGGCAATATCACACCTACTTTTAAGAAGAGTAGAAAGGATGATCCAGGGAGCTATTGACCTGTTTGCCAAACCTCGGTGCTCGGTAAGATCATGGAGCAGATGCTCTTGGGAGCTACGCTAAGACATATGGAAGAGAGAAGGGTGATGCAGAATAACCAGCATGTTTTCACCAAGTGCAAGTTCTGCCTTGTCAAGCTTGTCACTTTTTAAGACGGCATAACTTTGTCAATGGACAAGGAAAGAGCCACTAGTGTCATATATCTGGACTTCAGTAAGACCCTTAATAGAGCACCCATAGTACTTTTCTCTTCCAAGTAGAAAGATATGGATTTGATGGGTGGATTGGTCTACAGATGAGGAGCTGGTTGCAAGACCATACCTACAGAGTAGTTAGTAGTCAGTGGCTCAGTGTCCAGATGGAAATCAGTGACTCTTAGGCATCTGTATTGGGACTACAGCTCTGAAACATCTTCATTGCCTCAACAGCAGGATTAAATGAAACCTCAGCAAGTTTGGGGACAACACAAAGCTGTGTCTGGCAGCTGACATGCCTGAGGAATCATAGAATGAATCATAGAATGGCCTGGGTTAAAAAGGACCTCAAACATCATTGAATTTCAACCCCCCTGCTATGTGCACGGTCACCAACCAGCAGACCAGGCTGCCCAGAGCCACATCCAGCCTGGCCTTGAATACCTCCAGTGATGGAGCATCCATAACCTCCTTGAGCAACCTGTTCCAGTGTGTCACGATCCTCTGGGTGAAAGACTTCCTATATCCAACCCAAACCTCCTCTGTCTCAGTTTAAGACCATAATGGAATGGGGTGCTATTCAGAAAACTAGACTGACTAAAGCAGTGGATCCAAGTGAATTCCACAAGGTCCAAAGCCAAGTGCACGGTCTTGCACTTGAGTCATGGCAATTTCCACTGCCAGTACAAACTGAGGGACAAAAGGGTACAGCACATCCCTGCCAAAAAGGTCCTGGAAGTTTTGGTGGCTGTTAAGATGGACAAGCTCTCTCAAAGTCTAGGAAGCCAATTGTATTCCAGGCTGCATCAAAAGAAGTGTGACAGCAGGACAAGGGATGTGCTCCTACCCCTCTGTTCTGCACTGGTGAGGCCTCACCTGGAATACTGCATCTAGATGTAAAGACCTCAGTAAAGGAGAGATCTGTTGGAGCACATTCAGAGAAAGACCACAAAAATCATCCAAAGGATGAAACACTTCTTCTACAAGGACAGGCTGAGTGAGCTGGAGCTATTCAGCTTGGAGAAGAATCACAGAATCACAGCATTGTAGGGGTTGGAAGGGACCTCCAGAGACCATTGAGTCCAACCCCCTGCCAAAGCAGGTTCCCTACAGCAGGTCGCACAGGTAGGCATCCAGGCAGGTCTTGAACATCTCCAGAGAAGGAGACTCCACCACCTCCCTGGGCAGCCTGTTCCAGTGCTCCGTCACCTCACTGTAAAGAAGTTCTTGCGCACATTGGTGCAGAACTTCCTATGCTGCAGTTTCCAGCTGTTTCCCCTTGTCCTGTCTCCACTCACCACTGAAAAGAGTCCGGCCTCGCCATTCTGCCCCCCACACCTCAGATATTTATAGACCTGGATCAGGTCCCCTCTCAGTCTTCTTTTCTCAAGGCTGAACAGACCCAGTTCACTCAGCCTTTCCTCATAGCAGAGATGCTCCAGGCCCTTCACCATCTTTGTGGCCCTCTGCTGGACTCTTTCCAAGAGATCCCTGTCCTTTTTGTACTGGGGAGCCCAGAACTGGACACAGTACTCCAGATGAGGCCTTACCAGGGCAGAGTAGAGGGGGAGGATCACCTCCCTCGACCTGCTGGCCACGCTCTTTTTAATGCACCCCAGGATGCCATTGGCCCTCTTGGCCACAAGGGCACACTGCTGGCTCATGGCCAACCTGTCGTCCACCAGGACACAGAAAAGTGTGTCAAAAAGACAAAGAAAAGGCTGCAAGGTGATCTGATCACAGACTTTCACATCTAGGGCTTTAGGAAGTAAGGAGATTCTTCAGCAGGGTCTGTTGTAATGGAACAAGGGGAAATGATTTCACACTGAAAAAGGGATATTTAAACTGAATATAAGGAAGAAGGGTTTTTTATTGGTGGTGGTGGTTTTTTGTTTGTTTGTATTTTAAATATTTTAAAATCATTGCAGGGAGCTGGACTAGATGACCCTTCAAGGGTCCCTTCCAATTCAAAAGGTCCTATGATTCTATACTAGCAGTGCACATGCCCTTTTAATACAATTGCTCAGGTTCCAAGAAGCATAAAGCCTGAAAGCTTCCAAAACTGGAACATATCATTTATTATTTTAGACTACATTGAGCCAATAGGTCAGGAGTCACCAACACATAAAGCATACTATTTTTCACATTGACAATTAATAATTTTCCTAACACTTTTAGGCAAAACAACATTTGACAGCACATCTTATATGTTCTATATGAGTACTTCAGTTATACAAGAAATTATGGAAATATCTAACTACCTTGATTTCCACTGACAACTCTGCATCATAGCATATAGTTGCAGTTACAGTCCATTAACATGGAAATCTATGAACCAAATCAAGATTTCCAGTGTAAGTATTATCAATGGAAGTAAAAGCTACTTGTGTTTCAATTTATATTAGGATTGTAAGACATCTGTATCTAAAAGATTAACTTTAGTGAAGTCCACCAGAGGGAGCTGCCAGGACATTAAATATGTGAGCAAAGGCAGGCCAGAAAAATAATGTTTAACCCTATGTATATGGAAAAGAAAGGAAATAACAAATACTACAATTCTGTGTTACCATTTCTACACCAAAAGTTGCTTTAAGGCAAGCATTCCACAGTTCATCAAAAGTATTTTGTAAAACCTCTACCTTGCACCCTCCCCTCTCATCTTTTCCAGTTTCTTCAAAATCCCTCTCCTCTGCACTGCTCCTGAAATATATACATGAAATTATCTCTAAAACCAAGTACATAGCCTTTCTATTCCAATCATTAACATAACTCCTAGAAACATGAAGTACACTGATATGATTATTAATTGTCTTCTGTCACTCTCAACATATTTTTATGCCAGCATACTCCGATAGTCTTCCCACCAGAAGGTGACTTTCAGCTGTATAAACCAGCTCATACCACATCATTCCATTACACTTAACCTTTAGTTCCAGTTTAAAGTCAAAGTGCAAGAGCCCCTCAGCTTTTTGAATCACTGGGTAGTTCATGAGCAAAGTTATCAGTATCTGCTCCCTCCTCCCACCCCACACAGCAGCCTCAAGCAGATAGCCAGAAAAGAGTTTAAGAACAGGACAACACATTAAACTTCCTTTTTTAATGATTACATTAAACCCCTCCAATGAGGCTAAATTTGGAGAACACATTCAATTTTTATTCCTCCAAATTTATTTAAAGTTTCTCCTACAAAGGTTGATCAAAATTGGTTCAAATATTTAACTTACTTGGCTGAGAAGTTGTAACACTGAGGTACAGGGTTTTTTTTATTTTTGCTTTTGGTTTTTTCTTCAGAATATTAAACCAAGAACTTGCAGCCACTAACTGAAAGATGTCATGCAGCAGTAAAGAAATTTGAGTCAGTATTAATTTGTTAACTGAATCGATCACAAATCCAACTGATTTTAAATAATCTGCACAAGTTTGTAAACAAAAAATGTGGTTATTTTATGAGAAAAATATCTCAGCTGTATTCTGTTTATAACAACAGAGAAAGAATTACATCATATGTATCTTTTACCCTTAAAGTATTCTAAGTTAACAGAGAAAATGAGCAGTAGTGAAAAGCAGTGCTTAGAGCACAGATGTACGAATAAGAGAGAGAAAAAAAAAGCTAACACGTCAGTTTAGAAACTATGAAAGATAATACAGCAAAATAAAAAAACTAACTTCACACCAATTGGAAATTCAACATTACACTTGTAATGATTTCTTAATATTTTCCATGGAAAAATAAAAATACAAAATAATGCTTTATGAGAAAGACTCATAAGCAGAAACATAACATTACTGCTTCCATTTCTTCAACAGAAGATTCATCACAATGTAAGTTACAAATTCATGCTAAAGATAATGTTTACTTTTACATTATTAAACAGGACAATATAAGAATGTAAGAATTTAGAACCCACAATTTCTTGATACCCAAGCCTTAACAGATGCCACAGGAAGTGAAAGAACCCCTCTAAACATGCTAAGCTTTTGACTCAAATAGATTAGTTTATCTCTGTTAACAAAGTACAAGTTAAGAGGTTAGACAAGGATAAACAAACAATTATCCTTGATGTAAGTAAGAATTTCTTTCTTTCAGGAGACTTTCTTAACTAGAGAATATATCTATCGATGATCCAAGGTGGAAAGAAAAGTGCTGTTGCAGATGATACTTAAATTCAGATGGCCCCTCTTCTCTGAGAAGGAATGGAAATTTCATCCAAGGCAGATGGGGGTGGGGTTGGGGAAGGAGAACTGGAGCTGGACACTCAGTATCATACCCACTTTTATCAGCACTTTTCAATACACTTTCAGTTACTGACAAGCCTAAGATCTATCAACAGCATAAAGACTCTGCCACCTTGTAAAATCTATAAATGACTTTGTATTTGTAACATGAAATCAAGTGAAAAGTTCCTATAAAAATATATTGAGAAAAGAAAAAATCAAGCGTTAAGTCCTGCTACTTGACATCGCTAGGAGAAAGTGTCTTTAACAGCAAGGAAAAAGACACACTGATACCTCCGCAACAGCACTTTTCAGAAATATCTGTAAGACCAGTACATAAAAGCTATTAATGTTTTCATAAAACCTACATTTTCCACAGCTACGATACACAGCATTACCTATACAAATGGCCATCATCTTGAAAGTCTTCTTTGCCCCATCTTCCTTTAATATCTTCAATAACGTGATTTTTCAGGAATTTTTTAAGCAGCTTAACCGTTTGACTGCGAGTCACCTCTGGGCCAAAGTTTTGGTTAGAGCCAAGTAGTTCATGCAAACAGTCCACTGCCTCCGAGGCTTTGAAGCAACGCTCGTAGCTTTTGAAGCGGCATCGATGCTTCCTTAGAGGCATTCCAGCACGGAAGAGTTCGATTATCTCATTCCACTAGGAAGGAGACACAAATCAAACTGTTACGGGAGTTCTTCCACAGGAAGCGTTTTAGTTACGCAGAACACAGATTTGGGTAGATTTCGTTCACCTGGGCAACAAGCACACTGAAACCCGAACTTTCATTTAAACACCAGAGATGTGAGAACAGACACAAGAACACGGCAGCCAGGACACCCACAACCCTCCGCTCCCGACGGCTCAGCGGCTCCAGGGGGAAGTTCGGCCGCCCCTCGCCCTGTTAGTGAGGCGGAGGACCGGACCACGGCCGCCTTCCGCAGGGCCGATCGCCCCGCACGGACTCACCTCAGGTAACGCCAGCACCCGGCGTTGTACATGAGCACGCCTCTGAGCGCGTATCTGAGCGCGCCTCAGGTCCCCGGCCGCCGGGGAAGGCTGCCCGGACAGGCCCGGGGCCGCAGCGCTCGGCCCTCAGAGGCTCAGCTCCACGGAACCGCTAGGGAGAAGCTCCCCCCGGGACTAAGTAAGGATGCGCAGGGCTCCGAGCGGGAGCCGGCCCAGCGGGCGTTCACTCACCAGCCGGGTGGCGCGGTACGGCCCGGGCCCGACGAGCCCCGGCTCCATGGACGCGGCCGGGCCTCCCCGTCTCCACGGAAACCAGCAGCCGCACGCGCTGCGCCCGCCGACCGTTTGAATCAGAGCCCGCGAGGCGTCGCTTTCGCCCATTGGGCGCCAGTCGCAGCACCTGACGGGCCCGTCGACGTTTTTGATTGGTGGAGGGAACACCTGTCCCGCCCCCGGCACTACGCTCTCGGCACGGGGAGTGTCGCGGCCCTCTCCCCCCAGCAGTCCGGGCTGAGGGGCGGGCAGGGGGAGCTGGAGTGGCGTTGTGCGGGGTTCGGCTTGGCTCTGTCACGCCCAGCTGCCAGCCCGCCCTTTTCCCAGTACGGGTAGAGAGGAAAGGTGCCTCCCTCGGCTGTAACGGCTGAGCTAGCCCAGAGGCAGTGAAGAATGGCGGTGACTGGGCAGAGTAGCGCAACGCCTGCTTCCTGTTGCGCACAGCGGAGGGATAGATGGCTCAATTTTAAAACGAGCGTGAAGTACTCATGGCCTCTGCGTCCTGCTAGGGCAGAGCAGCGAACGTTTGGGAGAGGGGCCGAGGATTGAGACTGGAAAACACTTGCAAAGAAGGTGAGCTGAGGTGTGCAAAGAATGGTGAATTAGCACGGTGACTTCACGAATTCACAGAAAACGAATAATAATAAAATGCAGACTCAATTCCTCAGGTGTAAGTAGTGGTATTTGTCTCTCTCCTGTCATAAGCCTAAGGGACACAGTCTCAGCCTTGTCCCCTCGTTGCCATCACATGTTCACTGTTTGTGAAATGGTTCGCGTAGCACTCGGCTCTGACATACAACTGTTAGGTAGGAAAAAAGCGAACTGCCCGTGTGATTCTCACAAGCAGCAACCCAGGATGGGATTAATAACATTAATGTTGTTAGGGTAGTATGGTTAGGTCATGGTTGGACTTGATCTTTAAGGTCTCTTCCAACCTGAGTAATCCTATGATTTTGGAATGAAGCGCTTAGGATAACTGTTCTGTATGCAGCCCCTGATTGCATACCCATACAACACACAGGAACAAAAGCAGTCTGCAAGGAATTACATAGCTGGACTCTAAAGCAGCCCTTGCAGACAGCCTGTGGACTGATAAGCATCTTCTGCTTAATTAAATCTTGATTCCTAGCAACTGGCTGCAGAGGCAGTTGGCTGCTTCACAACTGCTGGACTTGGGAGATTTTCCTGGCTCCTTAAAGGAGTGTAGAGACGCTCACTTTGGAGCTCAGTTTTGACCATGCATTGTCACAGCTTCAGTGTGTGGAAAAAAAGCAGATATTGGTCCAAGTTGCAGACTAAGAAAATAGCACACAGCCCCTCACACTCTGCTGTAGGCCACATTCCACCTAAACTGTGACTGTGTGCACCATCTCTTACTTCTGGTAAAACTTCCAACCGGTTCTGATCACCACATGTTTATGCGTTTGTACCACTGGGGTGGGAGCAATAACAGCAAAGTGGGCAGCCCAAAACTATGAGTTCCTCAAGAGCTGGAGTTACCTACAGGATTACAGAGAACTCTTTCTTCATCAGTACTTCTTTAACACATTATTATACAACACAAGGTTTCGGTTCTGAGGAGATAAGCCGCTACTTTGGAAGCCAAGGGCACACATACAGTCTGGCATAGTTTGAGACTTGGTGTCAGTGATGGCATTTCCCCACTCAGCACTTCGGCTGGTATGAGTTTGTGCAGAATCTCCCTCCATGCTCAGCCAGGGAAATCAAACTCAGCACTAAAGATTTGAGGATTAAGCACCTAAATGAAGATCATGATATATATCACACACCAATCAAATCCTAATTTAACTGCAGTCTGCCATGAGAGTTGATAGCCCCAGAGAATAAATCATGAAAAGGTAAAATATAAATTATTTTTATTTGTTTTATAAAGAAGATTCATATGCAGTTTTGTAAGAAATTATTTGCAACATATGTCCAAGATAAAGTTTAAACTCTTTTTGCATTAACAGTACATCAATGTTGCTATCCCCATAAAAGTATCTAGGTTACAAAACTTATTTTCTTGGAATTGTACAACAGGGAGGCAATTCAAACCTGCACCAATATTTTGTGTATTTGAGAATTCCACAGATCAGATAAAGCACAAAGCAAAAAAAAAAAAAAACAAAAAAAAAAACACAAGCTTATTTTTTGTTAGCAGTGATCATAATAGAAAACAGTACATTTAAAGGTAACATTGATTTAAACACCTTTATCTCCTCATTTAAAGATCTGTTGCATGAGCCATTTCCTTAATGAACTCATATGCTACAAATGCAACTTGAATACAAATAGCAAGGTCCTTTAATTTCTGTGTATGTGTGGCCCTAACAACCTGCCTACCCATGGAAAACACCATACGAGTTAATCCCATATCTGGACTGAACCACCTCTACCTACCCTACCCTCAGGAATTCAGAAAATGGCTCACATCTGTTTTCCCAGTCTGAAGGAACAGAGACAAGCTAATCGGTCCTATTAATACAGAAACATTAACCTTGAGATGTTAAGCATAAACAATAATAACAAAAAACAATGATAAAACTCCATGAAGACTTGACTTCCAAGGGAGGTATTTTTATAGATAATGAGAATGGAAGAAAATACAGCATATTACAATCATGGTAGCTGACATTCAGATTTCAATCAAAATCAGTTTCTTTACAATTTGTGACGACTTAAGATTCTTATTACTTGATTACAGGATTTCCTCCTCCCTACAGTGTAGCCTACTAATATCAAAATATATTCCTAGACACAATGACTAATAAGAATACAATAATACTATGGTGAATAAATCAGTAGTTTGTTTTGATCATTACACTGCAAGACAGTTTAGACAATCCCCGTATTAGTAGTTTTCCTACATCTTGAATAATGTTTAAATGAGTAAAAGTTTCTTACATGAAATGAATTCTCAGTAAAAGAATGTATATCCAAAATTCTCTATTCAAATGAAGTGCCATATTTTAACAGATTAACATACATCCCTTTCTTTAAAGTAATATAATTTGTAAGCAGATTTTATATATTAGCTATACTCATAATATGCTTTAGGTTCAAGGATGATATTTACTGATTTCTTTTAATAAAATGCAGCTAACTGTCTCAACAACTTGTAAACCACTAGGGCGATGTAATTTTTCCCTTAATGTTCAAAGTACTTTGTACTTGTCATACACATTTTAATTTTCTCATCAAATACATTTATTTTCCTGCATCTTCTAGACAGATGTGATCTATCTGTTCATTTCTTGCAGGGAAGACATGAGCAAGTTGTTGGAAAAAAAAACAAGCCTTCCTCCTTCCCCACTTTTTTTTTTTTTTTTTTTTAAATCAAATCCACACTGTCCTCTTCTACTTCCCAAATTCTGAAACCCAAATAACTTAGAGCAAAAATACTAGGTCTGCTTTGGAAGAAAACATACAAAATATACACGGTGTAGTGTGTGCACCCAATTTTCTTGATTGTCAAGTAGTGCAAGTTTTAACTTTGACATACACATTTTTTTCTTTTTTTTCATAGGCAAGAGGTTTTGTTTTTTTTTTTCACTGATCTTTGCTGATGCCATTTCTTGTCATCTTTGGTAGTCTCTGTCCCTTTGTGTAGGCATGGTACCAGAAGTGGAGAAACAAGACTAAAAACATAGAGCCATATAGCCAAATAATAAACATGAAAATTGGATACTGGTATGGACAATCATCCATGACATAGATTTGTCCTATGTGGGCTGTAATCATAATAAACTGAACCTGGGAAAAAAAAAGATAAAATCAATACTTGAGTTTAAAAGACGAACTTTCTACTGACATTTAAAAAGATTTACCATAACTTACGTCTATAAAATGCTGGGGGCTTTTTCAGGTACTGAGATGTAGCATTAGATGCTCCCCAATTGTTAGTGCATTGAGATTAAAGACAGAAGTGCCAGGACAATATGAATTATAGTCAGCACTGAGAAACCCATACTACAGGAAAAGGAGTCCACACTGATCAACTCAGAAGAAACAAGTATTTTGACAGTGACCAGTAACTAATGGGACATTCCTCTGGTAAACTAGCCAGTCAAACAGAAAACACATTAGGATTTGTGAACATTAGTTTTCTTCTAGCTCTGACCGCATATTGTCATGTGACACAAAAGGCTGCAGATCCCAAAAAAGAATGGAGGACTAAAACAAAATTTCCACAAGACCGCCAAGTTAATAATCCACAGTTTATACTGCCAAGACAAAAGGCCTCTAAATAACTTATAAATATTCAAGCTAAATCATTCCCAGTTACATAGAGATGTGTTTGCAAGCAGTAATTGCTTAGCCAGAAGCTAAATTAATTTTGAATTAACTCAGAATTTCAAAAATTCAGCCAACAGACCAACTGTATGATATTTACATGAATAAAAAAGGCATAAATATATTGTACTGTCTGTATTAGCCACAATCAGCTTTCTGAGAGATGTTGAAGTCAAATGAAAACTACTCACAAGTTGGATAGTTGTCATGTACTTCTTCCACCACAAGTATTTATGATAGGCCGGTCCCAAAGAACAGATTCCATAGTAGGTGTACATGATAACATGCACAATGCAGTTCAATAAAGCATGAAATGTTCCTAAGCCACCTGTAAAAAAAAACAAAAAAAAACAAAAAAAAACAAAATAAGGTAGCATATTGCACTGTGCACTAAAAGGACACCTCAGGACTCAGCAGTTTGAATCAAAACTAAAAAAAAACCACCACAAAGCCTATGGGACTCTGTAGACATTGATTAATCCTCCAAGTATTCGACTAGAATGGGGGTGACCAATTCTGAGGGATCTCATCACAAAAGTTTATGTAAGATGTTCCAAAACAGCAATAAAACTGTGGTGACCTTAAATAAAATGAAAATCACTAACATCTTGAAATGAAAGATGTATATGAAGAGCATTTGATGTATGCAGTCTTCCACCTGCCTTATACCTATATTTATCGTGATGAACTTCACAGAGCATTGGAGTACAAGTAATAAATCCCCAACAAATCTCCAAGGAAGAAATCATAGTTTCAGACAGAA